GGCGGCGGGGGGGGAGCGGCGGCCTCTGCCCGCCCCGAGCGCCGCTCCGCCAGACCCCGCGCGCGCCACGCCCCCGCCGCCGCTCATTGGCCGAGGCTGAGACAGGCCCCGCCCAGCCCCGCCGATGATTGGAGGATAAAGGGGAGACCCCGCCCAGCGCCTCCACGAGCGGCGGAGAGGGAGCGTGGCCGCGCCTGAGGACACGCCCCCTACTCGCTGCTATTGGATGAGAGCGCCACGCCTCCCGCTATTGGCCCGACCCTCCCGGTGGCGTCCCGCCCACACAGCCGGCCCCGCCCCGCTGGCCGCACGCTCTGCCCTGACTCACTTCCTGCCGCTCAGCCAATGGCGAGGCCGGACGGGGGAGGGGGCGGGGCCTCGGCTACGTGGGGCAACGTAAGCACTGACACTGACAGGGACAGGGACAGAGACCCCCGGGATGGGGACAGGGAAAGGGACAGAGACCCCGGGATGGGGACAGGGACCCCCAGACAGGGACCCCCGGGATGGTGACAGGGACAGAGACCCCGGGATGGGGACAGGGAAAGGGACAGAGACCCCGGGATGGGGACAGAGACAGAGACCCCGGGGATGGGGACAGGGAAAGGGACAGGGACCCCCGGGATGGGGACAGGGAAAGGCACAGAGACCCCGGGATGGGGACAGAGACCCCCAGACAGGGACCCCCGGGATGGGGACAGGGACAGAGACCCCGGGATGGGGACAGGGACCCCCAGACAGGGACCCCTGGGCCAGGGACAGACCCTGTGTCACCCCAAGGGTTTGTGGGAGGGGGAATGGAGGCCGTGCTTTATCTCTGAATGATAAAAATTAAAGGAAAAAATACATCCGGGGTTTTATTAACAGGGAAACAAACCAAAACCAGGGAGAACACGGCAAAATCCCAGCCAGAAACTGACCTTTGTCGTAAAAAAAAAACCAACAAACCAAACAAATATCTGGGAACTGGTGACGGCTCTGGCTGTGGGATTCGTTGGGAATATCCCAAATTCCACTGGAATCCAGCACTGGAGCCACCCAGGAGAGTGCAGGGAAGCGAAATCCTCCCGTGGAGGAGCCGTGTGCCAGCGTCAGGCGATGAAATCCAGGGGCCTGTTGAATCCTCCTTTTCTGTTCATGTATTGCCTGGGTGAGGACGGAGCCAGGGTCAGCCCCAGGGAACCCAATTCCCCAGGGATTTGAGCAAAAGGAGGGCAGGGAGGCTCCCAGCGAGGAGCTGCTCCAGAGGAGCCCAGGCTGCCATCAGAAAGGGAGCAGGATTGACAATCTGGGTGGTTTTTTGGGATAAACCAGGTGAGCAGTGTGGCTCCCTGCTGCTCTGATCCTGTCCAGGCCTCACTGGGCACACCCCACCCGTTCCCAAGGTGCTCCTCACTCCTCATCCTCCTGGTTTCCCCATTCCCACGGGCGTCTGGAGAACTCTCACCTCTGCTTTTGAGTCTAAACCTCACCAAATTTCCATTTCCCCAGGCCTGGGAGCCGGATCATGGTGAGACAGCGGCCACAGCCACCTGACAAAACAAGCTCCTCTTTCCATCCCAAAGCAGGGGGACACACCTGTACTTCCTCTTCTGGGACACGTTGATGGCGTAGGCATTGGCAGCACCGTCCACCTTCTTCCCCTGAGGAGAAACGTCCCAAAATCCCATGGATTATCCCCAAACAGGGCAGCTGACACCACAGAGCCCCTGGTGGTACCGCTCACCTTGGTGGTATCAAAGGAGGCAAAACCCATCATCTTCATCATCTCGATCTCCTCCTCTGTCTTGCCCTGCAAATCCTCTTCTGAGGGGGAAAAAAATCAGGGATTGAGCAATGGGGTGTTGGGATTCCCAAAAATCCGTGTGTCCTGGCCCCGGGGGGCACCTGGGGGTGCTCCAGGAGGGAAAGCCCCCCTCACCTGTGATCTGCCGCTCCTTCTTGGAGTCCTTGAGCTCCTTCTTCTCCTCATCCCGGCGCTCCTTGGGCCGTGCAGGTGACGAGGAGCTGGAGCGGTGCCGGCGCGGGGACCTGCTGGGGCACGCGAGCTGGGGCTGCAATTCCCACCTGGAATCCCCACCTGCAGCTCCTGCTGTCCCTGGGCCACCCAGGGTGCCCTCACCTAGCTGTGCCCACCCCTCGATGGTGCCCCTGCCCTCACCTGGATCATCCCTGCCTTCACCTGGATCATCCCTGTCATCACCTGGATGTCCCTGCCATCACCTGGATCATCCCTGCCCTCACCTGGATCATCCCTGTCATCACCTGGATGTCCCTGCCATCACCTGGATCATCCCTGCTATCATCTGGATCATTCCTAACATCAGCTGGATGTCTCTGTCCTCACCTGGATGTCCCTGCCATCACCTGGATTATCCCTGTCGTCACCTGGATCACTCCTAACATCACCTGGATCATCCCTGCCATCACCCGGATCATTCCTAACATCACCTGGACAGTTCCCACCCTCCCCTGGATCATCCCTGCCATCACCTGGATCATTCCTAACGTCACCTGGATGTCCCTGCCCTCAGCTGGATCATTCCTATGATCACCTGGATGTCCCTGTCATCACCTGGATCATCCCTGCCATCACCTGGACAGTGCCCACCCTCACCTGGATGTCTCTGCCCTCACCTGGATCGTCTCCGGTGCGGGGAGCGGGAGCGGCTCCTCCTCCTGTCCCTGTCCCGGGACCGCGATCGCTCCCGCCGCCGCCTGTCCCTGTCCCGGGACGTGGAACGCGAGCGCCGGCGCTCTGCCCGGGGAAGGGTCAGCTGCTGCTCCCTGCCCGCTTCCCAAAGGAAATCCCACAGAAAACCCCAGCGCAGACCCCGGGACTGCCCTTCCCAGCCCTCAGGACAGTTCTGGGCTCACGGACCCCTCTGGGCACCCCCAGGAGGGGAAGGAGCAGCAGGAAAAGTCTCCAGCTGGAGCGGGGGAAATCACCCGGGGGGATCAGCCAGGAGGGGGTGATGGTCCCCAAAAACCTGAGCAAGGTGGAGAGGGGTGGCAGGAAAGGAAGAGAAGGAGAGGACGAGGAGATAAGGATGGAGAGAAGAAGACAAAGGAGAGGAGGAAGAAGAGAAGAGGAGGAGGAGAAGAAAGCGGAGAAGAAGAGAAGGAATAGAGAAGGATGGGAAGGGGGAGAAGGAGGAAGAGGAGGAGGAGAAGAAGAGAAGGAAAAGAGAAGGATGATGAGGAAGAAGAGGAGGATGAAGGAGCTGTCTCTGCTGTCCTCCAGAGCGAGGAACCAGGGCCTCCCCGCCCTGCAGGGTCTCAGTCCCCCCAACCCCGGCCCTTCCATCCCGATCTCCCGGGTTCCCCCTGAGCTCCCCGCCGTTCCCGTCCCTCCCTGGGTCCTCCCGGTGCCCCGGTGCCTCCTCACCCCGCCGCGGCGGTGACCGGGAGCGGCTGCGGCCCATGGCCGCCCCTCAGCCCCGCGCTGCTGCTCCCACGGCGGCGCCGGCCCTGAGGGGACCCGGCCTGAGGGGACCGGCCCTGAGGGGACCCGGCCGGGACCGGGCCCGAGGGGACCCGGCCTGAGGGGACCGAACCTGAGGGGACCGGGCCGGAGGGGCCGCTCAGGTCAGCACCGCATCGGGACGCACCGGCCCGGTCCCGCCGCTCGCCCCGAGAGCCCGCCCAGGCCGGAGTGCGAGGGGAGGGCCGGGAGGAAGAGGAGGGCTGGAAAGAGGAGAGGGCAGGAAGAGGAGGGGAGGAAGGAGGGGCCGTCACCGTCACCCTCCGCCGGCAGCTGCTCGCTCTGCCTCCCTGGCCTGGCCCCGGCTCGGTCCCGGCCCTCTCCCGGTTCTGCCCCGGCCCGGCCCAGCCCAGCCCAGAGTCCGAACGTGCTGCGGCTCTGCCGGCTTCGGTAGTGGAGGGGTTCAGGAGAGGCTTCTCTGAGAAGCTGCTGGAACCTTCCCGGTGTCCGCCACACCCCGTGCCAGCGGCTCCGGGGGAGCCCCATTCCTGAGCCCATGGATGGCACCATGCCATCCTCGCCCTGAGCTCCATCCCGGTCCCATTCCCACCTGCGCCCCATGCCATCCCCATCATCCCCTTCCCACCTCCAACTCCATTCTCATCCCATCCCCATATCCATCTCATTCCCATCCCCATTCCCACCTCCACCCCTGTCCCATCACCATCCCCATCATCCCCTTCCCATTCCCACCTCCCCCCATCCCCCCCCCCACCTCCATCACCATCCCATTCTCATCCCATCCCCATCATCCCCTTCCCATCACCATCCCCATCTTCACCCCATCCCCATCCCGTCCCCACCTCCACTTCCATCCCCATTCCCACCTTCACACCTATCCCATTCCCATTGCAATCCCCATCCCCATCCCTCAGGCTCCGAGCTGCCGGGTGCCAAACACGGGGTTTATTTACACCGGCGTTCCGCGCGCTCCCGGCCGCGATTGTCACACGCGGGGACATGCCACACCCCGGCTCCTCCCGGTGCCATTCCGGGGGTCCAACGCCCACCCTGCCACCCGGACCTTTCCCGGTGGGCAGCCCCGGGTGGGAGGAGAGGTGCTGAGCCCAGCTGGACTCGCCCTTCCCCGCTGCCAAGGTGGCATCAGCCCCTGTTTTCCAGCGGAGTTGCGGATGTGGAGGTCCTGGATCAGGGATTTGCCTTACCCTGAGCCGTGCTGGAGCGAGGGGAGGGGGAGGCAGGGTGGTGGGCTGGGGGAATTTCCCGAGGGGTGGTCCCGGGGTGTGATCATGGCTCTGTTGCTCTCCATCATGGTGATGATGGTGGCACTGGAGCCTTCGTCCCTTTCTACCTGGAGCTCCCTGGAATTTCATGGAGAGGGAAGTCAATCCCTGCAAAGCTTTTGGCCCTTGGGAAAAGGGTTGACAAAGGCCCCAGGGACAGAACCTTGGGGAGAAAAGGGGTGACAAAGGCCCCAGGGACAGAACCTTGGGGAGAAAAGGGGTGACAAAGGCCCTGGGGACACACTTCCAATAACAAAGTGGGAACAAAACCCCTGGGGGAGCCCCCGGGTTGGGCTGGGGGTGTGGCAGTGCTGTCATTCAGGAATTGCCCCCAGGTGTGACAGTGCTACCCCAGGGAGGTGACACGGCTGTCTCTGCAGGCTCTGCTGCCCTGGGTCACCCGGGTGGAACAGGCCCAGGGGCAAAAATGGCCTCAAAGAGCCTTAAAATCAGTGGCAGTGAGGAACAGCCCCCCCAGTGACAGGGTTTAGGGGCTCAGAGTGTCCTCTCGGTGCCCCCCATCCTGCAGGAGTGGGATGGGGACCTCTGGGGGGACACTGGGCAGGGCAAAGGCTCTTCCCAAAATCCAGGCTCAGGTTGGGGCTCTGTCAAGATCCCTGCCTGGGCTCTCCCTGCTGTTTCCTGCAGCCCCTGTTCCATGGGCTTCCTGCTCTTCCAGAGGGGATCCAACCCCCACGAGCTGTCTCACAGCAGTGAAAGGGTTTGAAACCACGGTGATGGCACGTGGGAAAACCCTGCTGGGGTGGGGGAGCCCCAAACAGGGGTTCTGGGGCATTCCAGACCTCCTGGGCAGGGCTCCATGGACGCAGCAAGGCTCAGGGCGAGCCCCCCAGGAAAGGGGGAGGATGTGGGGCTGATCCCGGTGATTTATCCCCAAATCCCAGCGCTGGAAGGGCTGTGGGGGACACGGGCACGGCTGGGGCTCTCCCGGGCAGGGCGTAGCCAGGAGGTTGTAACGCTGGGAGGGAAGGGAACGCCAGGAAGGATGGAACTTGTGCTGGGAATTCCAGAGCTGGGAAAAGCAGGGGGCCAGCGTGGCCGTGAGCAGAGGCCAGCAGGAACTGGCAGCGTGTGTTCATCCCGAAGTAGCACTTAGTGAGTGAGTTTTGCTCAGTTTTAAACAACACAGACAATTCCCGGAGGGTTTTTTTTTTTTCCCTATTTTCCCAGGTGCGGGTCGTGCAGTGAGGTGGGGGCTTTTCCAGCGGTGGGAAATCCTGCTGCTCTTCCTTGGGTGGGGAAAACACAGGCTGGGAATACCAGGAGAAGGGGATGAAGTGGTTCTTGAGCCCACGGAGAGGAAGATTACAATCCAGGGAGGAAAAACCTCAGCTCCTCCTCGAGGAAAAGCAATCCCCCGCCTTCAGCTCGATCCCGTTCTCCTGGCAAAGCGACGGACAGTTTTCCCTGGGGATGAAGCCAGCGCCATTCCAGCAGAGCTTGAAACAGAAGGTGAAGAAAATAACCACAAAACACCCTTTTCTTCCTCAAATCAAGCAGATCTGGGCTCTGGTGGAGAAAACCCAACTCTCGGCCCACGGTGGGAAGGGGCCGGAGCCCAGGAGGGAGAGGGGGGAGGGAGGTGCAGCGGGAGTTTCCCCAAACGGGGACCACAGTCTCTCTAAGCTCGGTGACCGCCCCCAGAGGCGGGTGACAAGGGGGACCAGGTGCCTTGTGCCAGGAGGGCCCGGAAAACAGCCGGGTTCCGGGGGTCTCAGAGATCCCGGGGATCCCACGCGCGAGGCCTCGGGAGACTCAGGATTCGATCTTTTCCTTCTTTTTGCCTTTTTTCAGGAAGGACGGGGTCCGGAATTTCTTCTTCTTTTTGGAGGGTGATTTGGAGGGTGAACCGTCGGGGGACACCGGGTTGCTGGTCACTGTCTCCTTCTCCTTGGGGGCGTCCTGGTCAGCGTTGGTGGTTGTCCGGTCTGTCCCCCCTTTTCCAAGGTTTTCCTCAGTGCTTTGCTCTTCATCCTTCCCGTTCACCACCGCTGGTGGCTCCTTCTTGGCAGTGGAATCAGGGGGGGCTTGGCCACCATCGGCCTTCTTATCACCTTGGGAAGGGGAGAGGGAACAGGGAATTGGGGCAGCAGCACCGGTGCTGTAGGGGGGTTTATTCCCCAAAAGTCCAGTGGGGCCTGGGCAGGAGCAGGATTTGGCCTCCACGAGTGGAGAACGTTGGGATTTGATCCTGTCCTGCCTCAGGCACCGCTCCCCTGAGCCCCCTGAGCCGCCCCCTCCCTGCGGGACAAGCGATGTGGGATGGAGAGCCGGGAAGAGGCAGCGGGAGAAGCAGGAAGCAACAACAAAGAGGGATTCCCCAGGGGGTTTCCTAAGGGATTTATTTCCATGGAGACCGAAGATCCCCCCGAGCCCCTGTCCCTCGTCCGGGGTGGCCTCTCCGTACTTACTACGGCGCCAGGGATTCAGGGATAACTCCTTGGGTGACAGGCACACGGGGAGGAAAGAGAAAGGAGACGTTGTGGAGACAGACAGACAGACAGACGGACACCACGAGACACCATGGCAGAGCCAGCAGCCCCGAGCCGCGCCCCGGCACCCGCTGTGGGTCGGAACAATGGGAACGGAGCGTGGGGACTGGGCTGGGGGACAGGGCTGTCCCCTGCACCCCACAAAGCCACCGACAGAGCTCACGTCCTCCTGCCACGATCGCCGTCGGCCCCTCTGGAGCGGGGTGACAGCTCGAGGTGACACGAGGTGACAGCGAGCTGCGTCTCAGCGCCGTTTGGCCACAGCCGCCCTTGTCCCCCCACTCCTGCTGCTCACTGGGACCCCAGCCCTCGTGTTGGGGTGCTCGTCACCCCACTCACCCTCCGTTGGCTCCGCAGGCGCTGGGGGCTCCGGAGGGGGTGGCTCTGGAGGGGGAGCCCCGCTGTCCTCTGCTGCCGCGTCCCTCTCGCCTGCCACAGAGAGACACGCTGGCCCCAGGTCCCCTCAGTGCCACCCGGGGCTCTGTGGGGCTTTGGGGGTCTCTCCTACCCTGCAGGCGCTTCTTCCTCTCCACCTCCTGCTTGTACTCCTCCAGCTCCTGGTCCGTGAGCTGGCTGAAGGGGTTGGGGGGCTCTGGCTCGGGGGGAGCCTCTTCCCTGCCCTCCTTGGCCTCTGCGTCCCCCAGGTGGCTCTCAGTGGACTGAAACAGACCCCCAGAGTGGTGTCACACCCCTGGGGCAGTGTCAACCCCCCATGGAGAGATGTCACCCCTCCTGAGGGGTGTCACACCCTCTGGAACTGTGTCGACAGCCCCATCCCTCACCCCAAGCAGTGTGCCCCCCCCAGCAGTGTCCCCCACCCCTGAGCAGTGTCCCCTCTGCCCTCGGAGTGGTGTCACTGCCCCAGACCTGTGGAACCAGGGAAGGGCTGGGTACTCTGGAAGGGGCACTTGGGGCAAGAGGTGACAGGGGGTGATATTGGCTTGGAGATATAGTGGGGACAGGGGGTGACACGGGGGGACAGGACTGTGTCTGGTCCCAGCAATGACACTGGCCAGCAGCTGCGACTGGGGACACAGAGTGTCATGGGGCTGGGGACACGGGGTGACACAGGGCTGGGGATACGGGGTGACACAGGTGACAGGTGCCATACGGGGCTGCGGCTGGTCTCGGCGATGACGCTGGCCAGCAGCTGCGACTGGGGCCCGGCTGATTTCACATCCTGGCGGTTCTGCTCGCGGATCTGTGGGGGAGGACAGGGCTCAATCCCCCTCCAAGGCCAGGGCTGAGCCCCCCGAGGCCCCGCTGTCCCCCAGCCCAGCCCACCTTGTTGCGCATCTCCAGCACCTCCTGCGGGTCTGTGTAGAGCGGCACGAACTGGTTGGGGTTCTCGATGCGGATGGGGGTCCCACTGCTGCCCTTCTCCACCTCGTCTGCCCGCAGCCACTGCAAACCCAGGAACGGTGTTTGGGGAAGGGGAGACCCCCAGGATGGAAGGGGGACCCCAACAAATGCAACTTGTGTAGAGGGAAGACCCCAGTATAGAGGGGAAGCACCATAAGTGCAGGGAGACCCCAATAAACACTCCTTGTATAGAAGGAAGACCTGACTAAATGCATCATACACAGAAGGTGGACCCCAATAATACAGGAAGACCCCAAAAAAACATCTTGTGTAGAGTGGAGATCTTAATAACAGGTGTTACCTGGAGGAGAGACCCCAATAAATGCATCTTGCACAGAGGGAAGACCCCGATAAAGCCAATAGCACTCAGCCCCACTAGAATGGGGTGGTGGCATTTCCAAATAATCATTATTGCAGGATGCAGGTGGTGCCCAGGCCTCCCTACACCCCAGATTTTCACGGCGTCCATAACCAGGACACCCTCCACCTCCCTGGCCACCCATCCCCAAGCCCCTGCTGCCCCCTGTGCCCCTCACCGTGGTCTTTGTCCTCTGGCCGCCGGCGCTGCCCTGCGGCTCCTCGGCCAGGTTGACCCTGGTGTAGGTGTTGGGGGTGTTGAGCCACCTGGTCTTCTCCTTCTGCTGCTTCTGGGCGTGCTGGCGCAGGGCAGGGGTCCCGGCGGGCTCCTCCTCGAAGACGAAGGCCGTGACGGTGGCGGGGATCAGCACGTCGCTCTTGGGCTTGCTCTTCTCCTGCACGAAGGGGTAGCGGTACGTGTAGCCCGTGCGGTAGCCCTGGGGAAGCACCGAGAGGGGAGTGAGGCACAGGGGTAAACTGAGGGCTTGGAGCATGCTTTTGTCACAGACAGGTAGAGATAAAGAAAAGGATATATAAGATTATTTATTATAAAGAAAAGGATTTATAAGAGTCCATAAAGAATTATTAGAGGAATGAGGAAATAGCTAGCACAATAACCTATTTTAGTGGAAGCACCTTTTGCACCTGCATAAACTGTAGGTCTGTGTGGATGCCATGGGACAGAGAGAGAAACAGCAAGTGTTTCTCACAGCAGCTTCTGAGAATTTTTAGGGAGTTGTAAGGATGTGATAACTTGTTAAGCAAACTATAGGTCTGCGTGGATGCCATGGGACAGAGAGAGAAACAGCAAGTGTTTCTCACAGCAGCTTCTGAGAATTTTTAGGGAGTTGTAAGGATGTGATAACTTGTTAAGTATAAACAATTTGCAGGTGGTGTTTTTCTACTTCATCTTTCTGTTCTTCTCAAGGATGGTGTGTGAGAAAGGTGTTTTTGTTGGTTAGCCAATCAAATAGAACCTATCTTATCACTCTATAAAAACCTCGCAGATCTCTTGAATAAAGCTTCTTTGCTCTTTCTACAATACTGCCTCCTGCCTCTTCCTGTGTTATTCTCAGCACAAGAGTGACAGGTCTGTCCCATGAAAATCAGTGAACAAGATGCGTGAACATATCTAGAAAGAGAAAATTTGGTTATATTCCACAGCCCTCACCAAGCACTGAACTGGGTTTCACTGCGCTGCTGACCAGTTAGGTTTAACCCAGTGCATTCTGATATTTCTATGTGAACAGAGCAGGGGCCTTTCCTGCATGAAGAGACTGAGTCCTATCTGTTTTATCACAGTTTTGGCGCTCACCAGGTTGTCCAGCATCCTCATGAGGGCCTCGAACTCGTGCTCGCCCAGGCGGCTCTTGTGCAGGGGCCCGAAGGTGGCCCCGGCGCGGCGCACGGCCCCCGGCCCGTGGGGCCCGCGCTGCGCCGCCCGCTCCAGCACGATCAGGTTCTCCGCGCCGCCCGCGCTCGCCAGCGCCGACACCTGCGGGGCACCGGGCACCGCTGGGCTGGGGACAGCGGGGGACAGCCCCGCGGCCACCCCCGAGCTGGCACAAGGGGGGGAAAGGGGCTGAGAGCTGGCACGGGGGAACGGGTGAGACCTGGCACAGCTCATGCCAGGGCTGAGAGCTGGCACAGCTCATGGTACAGGGATGGAAATGGGGGGCTGGCACAGCTCAGGGTACAGGGATGGAAATGGGGGGCTGAGAGCTGGCGCAGCTCAGGGCATGAAGATGGAAATGAGGGGTCTGAGAGCTGGTACAGCTTAGGGCATGGGAATGGAAATGGGGGGCAGACACCTGGCACAGCTCATGCCATGCTCCCGGGGCACTCTGCCTGAGCTGAGACTGGCACAGCTCAGTGCATGGGGATGGAAATGAGGGGCTGAGACCTGGCACAGCTCATGCCATGCTCCCGGGGCACTCTGAGCTGACAGTGGCACAGTGCATGCTCCCGCAATTCCGGCCCCACCCGCAGCCCGGCGCTCGCCCCGCGCTCACCTGCACCTCGCAGGCCGCCTGCAGGTGGAAGGTGCTGTAAAAAGCCTCCTCGGCCGTGTCGCCCAGCGCCAGCACGCCGTGGTTCCGCAGCACCAGGATCTGCCGCGGGATGTCAGCGGGGCGGGCGGGGCACGGCGGGGCGACCCCCGCGTGCCCCCAGGTGTGCCCTCACCTTGCAGGTGGGCCCGAGGCACTTCTGGAGCTCCACGCGATCGGCCTCGTCCTCCACCTCCCCGCGGAAGTCGAAGTAGGCGACGTCCCCCAGGAGGAGAGCGGCGCGGGAGATGGGCAGGAGCCCGCAGCGCATGGCCGACACCTGGGCACGGGGTGGGGACAGGGCAGGGGGCCGAGGAACCCCAAACACCCCCCAAAACGACAACAGCCCAAAAAACCCCCACCGACAGCCCCAAAAAACCCCCACCATCAGCCCAAAAAAACACCGACAGTCCCTAAAAAGCCCCACTGACAGCCCCCAAAAAAACCCACCAACAGTCCAAAAAAACCTCCAACCCTTCCAAAACACCCCTCCACCCTCCCAAATCCCCCCCGAACCCAAGTTCCCCTAACCCCCCCACCAAACCCAACCTCCCCCAAAAGCTCTCCCCCACATTCCCCTGGCTCCCAAGCCCCCAGACCCGCTCTCCCCGACCCCCCAGCCCGTTCCCCGCGTACGGCGGCCGCGGCGGGGGTGTGCAGCCGCACGATGCAGCGGATGTCGGGGCGCGCCGCGTAGATCGCGGCGTGCAGGCTGAAACTGCGAGCGTCGGGGGCGAAGCCGGTGCTGCCCTGCTCCACCACGGCCCCCAGAACGTTCACCTTCACCTGGGGGGGCACGGGGGGGCTCAGGGGGCTGCTCCCACCCGAGGAAGGAGGGAGGGAGGGAGGTGGGGGGCTCACCAGGCTGGCCGCTGTCACCTCGCTGCACGCCAGCCCCTGCGGGGCCACCAAGAAGTGCTCCTGCTCCTTGCTGACCCGCAGCTGCCGAGTGGGATAGGGTGAGGTGAGAAACGGCCCGAAAAAATCCCAAAATGGACATCCCTCGAAGGCCCCGCACCTCTCTGATCGCCCCTAAACCATTGAAAAGCCTCCGAAACTTCCCCCCAAGCCAACACCTCGAAAAGAACCCCAAAACCTCACAAACTGCCCCCCAAAACAACAGCCCACAAACCCTCAAAATCCCAACCCACCTCAAATGTCCAGAACCCCTTAGAACCCCCCAAAATCACCAACATCCCTCTAAGAACCCAACAGCTTCCAACCTTCCAAAATCCACCAAACCCCCCAAAATCCTACCAAAGAATGCCAATTTCTAAAACTCCCCAAATCTCAACTACCCAAAACCCCTGCTCCCCCCAAGAGAACCCCAAAATGGCCACTCCCAATCCAAAATCCACCCGAAACCCCACATCTCAAACCACAACACAATCTCCTCAACAAACTCCCTCAACTCCTCCTCAAACCCAAAGCACCCCCAACCCTCCTGTCCCCCCCGTACAGGTTTTGGGGTACTGGTGGTGTTGGTGGTATGCCCTAGCTGTGCCCAGTTGAACAGATCCAGCAGGTCCCAAACAACACCAAATCCCACCAAAAATAACTGAAATTCCCCCAACATCCCCCACAAACAACCCCAAACCTCCCTGGGGTTTTGGGGTACTCACAGTGACATGATGTGCCCCAGCTGTGTCTGTCTGTACAGGCCCAGCAGGTCCCACCCCCCCAAAAAAACCCTTAAAATCCCCCTCAAACAGCCCTGAACACCCTCAAAATCCTTTCCAGGACCCCCCCATTCCCTCTGAGCTGGTTTTGGGGTGCTCACGGTGACAACAGCATGTCCCAGTTGTGCCAAGCCTGTACCAGTCCAGGAGGTATTGAAAGCCCCCTGAACCCCCCAAACAACCCCAAATCTCCCCAAAACAACCCCAAATCCCCCCAGAGCCCCTATTTTTTGGGTTTTTTTGGGGTGCTCACGGTGACAGCGGCGTGTCCCAGCTGTGCCCAGCCGTACAGGTCCAGCAGGCGGTGGATGCTGCCCACCTTGCAGCGCATCAGCCGCTCGCCCTTGGCCAGTGCTGGCCCCTCTGTCCCATGCAGGTCATTGATGGGGGTGACCGACGCCAGCCCTGGGGATTGGGGACCCCCTGTCAGCCGTGGGACCCCCCCAAACCATGGGGGCCTCACCAGGAGCAGAGGGTTGGTGGCTGGCAAGGTTTGGTGGATCCAAAGGTTTGCTGGACATCAAGGTTTGGTGGACACAAAAGATTTGGGGGTCCCTGAGGCATTAAAGGTTTGGTGGTCCCGCAGGTTTGATGGCCCCAAAGATTTGGTGGGTCTCAAAAAGTTTGGGGGATGCCAGAGGTTTAGTGGCACCCCAAGATCCCAAAGAGTTGATGATTCCAAAGGTTTGGGAGTCCCCAAGATCCCAAAAGTTTAGGGGCCCACAAAGTTTGGTGGTCTCAAAGGTTTGATGATTCTAAAGGTTTTTGGGGTCCTCAAGGTCCCAAAGGCTCGGTGGTCTCAAAGGTTTGATGACACCAAAGGTTTTTGGGGTCCTCAGGGTCCCAAGGTTTGGTGGTCTCAAAGGTTTGATGACCCCAAATGTTTTTGGGGTCCTCAAGGTCCCAAAGGCTTGGTGGCCCCAAAGCATTTGAGGCCCCTGAAGTTCCCAAAGGTTTTTGTGAGATTTGGAGGTTCCAAGGTTGCCAAGATTTGGTGCCCCCCAAGGTTTTGGGGTTTTTCCTACCCCATCCCTCGTCCCCAAAGAGCCCCACGTACCCATGGGGGAGGTGGGCAGGGCGGCAGGGGACGTGGTGGCCATGAAGTCGGCGATCTGCCGCAGTGCCCACACGTGTGACGAGTTGTTCCCCTTCTTCATCTGCTCCTGGATGAGGCTCTCCAGCTCCTCCCGGAAGGACTGCGGCACGGGGACAGGGTGACAACGGGCTGGGTGGCACCGCTGGGGACATCGGGGCTGGGGCAGCACCGCTGGCACGGTGATGGCAGTGGGGACAGCATTGCCATCTTGGTGGCAGTAGCACTGCCAGCTTGGTGCCACAGTGGTGATGGTGGCACTGGCAGCTGGCTTGCTGGCACAGTGGCACTGGCAGCTCAGTGACAGCAGCACCACGGTGGCAGTGGCATTGCCAGGTGGGGACATGCACCACCGTGTGGTGACGTCTGTTAGCTTGGGGACAGGAGGGATGGGGCGGGGACAACAAAGGATGGGGCCAGCGACAAGAAGGGGTTGGTGACAGGAGGGACGGGATTTGGGCCAGGAGGGGTGGGGGACAGAAGAGAAGAGGTTGGGGACACGAAGGACAGGGCTTGGGGACAGGAGGTATGGGTTGGGGAACGTAAAGGAAGAGGTTGGGGATAGCAGGAACAGGGTTTGGGGACAGGCGGATAGAGTTGGGCACAAGTAGAACGGGGCTGGGGACAGGTGGGACGGGGGTGGGGACAGGTAGATGGGGCTGGGGACAGGCGGGGCGGAGGTGGGGACAGGGCCAGCGCGGGCCCGGGGGCTCACCGGGCTCTGCAGGATCATTGTCACCCGCTTCTTCTGCTCCATCAGGTTGAAGTCCTGGCGCAGGTCCCCGGCCCCGCTCCGCGCCCGCAGGAACTCGGGGTCCTCCTGGGGGGGGCAGCGCGGCCCGGGGGCGGGGGGCTCGGGCAGGGGCTCGGGGCTGGCGGCCGTGCTCATCCTGGGGACACGGGGACACGCGGGGACACGCGGCGTCAGCACCCCCGGGGTACAGATTGGGGAGAAAGCACCGAAAACACGGAGCAGCTGCGGCCCGCTGATAAGGGCAGAGGGGAGCCGCCCTGCCCGGGACGAGGGGACAGCTTGGGGACACCGGGGAGGGGACACTGCCCAGGCTGGGTGACAGCCCTGAGGGTAGCACAGCTAAGAACGGGCACAGCTCAGCGCACTGATGGCGCTGTGAACGGGCACGGCTCAGGGCACTGATGGGGCTGAGAACGGGCACAGCTCAGGGCAGGGATGGGGCTGAGAACGGGCACAGCTCAGCGCACGGATGGGGCTGAGAACGGGCACGGCTCAGGGCAGGGATGGGGCTGAGAACGGGCACAGCTCAGGGCAGGGATGGGGCTGAGAACGGGCACAGCTCAGCGCACGGATGGGGCTGAGAACGGGCACGGCTCAGGGCAGGGATGGGGCTGAGAACGGGCACAGCTCAGGGCAGGGATGGGGCTGAGAACGGGCACAGCTCAGCGCACGGATGGCGCTGAGAACGGGCACGGCTCAGGGCACTGATGGGGCTGAGAACGGGCACAGCTCAGTGCAGGGATGGGGCTGAGAACGGGCACGGCTCAGTGCACCCGTAGGGCTGAGAATGGGCACAGCTCAGGGCAGGGATGGGGCTGAGAACGGGCACGGCTCAGGGCAGGGATGGCGCTGAGAACGGGCACGGCTCAGGGCACCGATGGGGCTGAGAACGGGCACGGCTCAGGGCACGGATGGGGCTGAGAACGGGCACAGCTCAGGGCAGGGATGGGGCTGAGAACGGGCACAGCTCAGGGCACTGATGGGGGCTGAGAACGGGCACAGCTCAGGGCAGGGATGGGACTGAGAACGGGCACGGCTCAGGGCACCCGTGGGGCTGAGAACGGGCACAGCTCAGGGCAGGGATGGGCGCTCCCCCACGACCCCAGTCCCAAACTGGGGTCACCCATTATGGGGGGCTCGGCGCCACGCTGCCACCACACGAGGGGATGTTCCCGGCCCAGCAAGCCCAAAACGGCCCCGATAAGACCCCCAAAGGACCCTCCCCTCTCCTCCAGGTCACCGTCCCCGAGCGCTCTGGGGATGCTGCTGCCAAGGGCCCCCCCAAAACACAGGGCGGGGCCGCTCCCCCAGACCCGGGGGTGACCCCCAGTCCCCCCCCCTCTCAGGGCAGAAGGGGACCCCCAGATTTCGCAGCTCGGAGCGCACCTGTCTCACCGGGCGGGGGGGCCGCGGCCGGGATAAATCCGGGGGGCCGCGGTGACCCCCGGCCGCAGGGCCCGGACAGCCCCCGGAGAAGGCGGGGGGGGTTATGGGGGGCTGGGCCGGGACCCCCCCCCCAGCATCCCCCTCCCCTCCCCGCCTCCGCCCGCGCCGCGCCCAGCGCCGCTGCGGCAGCCGCAGGGCGGGGGGGGAGCGAGAACCGGGCTGGAAACCGGGATGGAAACCGGGCTGGATCGGGGGGGCCGCAGCATCGTCCCCCCCCTCAAGGGATGATGGGGAAGGGATGGGCTCGGGTACCAGCCGGGGATGAAGGCCCCGGCACGGGGGGAGGGGTGGGATGCAGCCCCCCCACACCTGCATGCGGCCAGCTGGGAGTGGGATGGGGAAAAGGCGGGGGGGTCACCCAGCATCCCCCCCCCATCCCCAAAATCCCCCCTCCCGCGAGGGGTGCTGCCCCATAAACAAGAGGGGACCCCCAAACCGGGCGCTCCCACAATCCCTTTTTATTGTGCAATTAATTGGGTTCATATTAACAATCGTTAATAAGCCCTTACCTGGGGGGGGGAGCTAATTACTAATTACAATTTCATAAAGAAATTAATGAATTAATTACAGCTCTGCGCCCCCCCCCCCAAGCTTCTGTGTTTGAGGGGTGACAGACCCCCTGCCCCCCCCAGTTTTGGGATGTGGGTTTTATGGGGTGCAGGACTCCAGGACAGGAGTGTGACCCCAAAAATGGGGCCCGGAGCCTTGGACTCGGCCCTCGGGGGAGACCCCTCCAGACTTTAGGGGCGTCAGGAAAAACCTTAAAAAAAAAGGAAAAAAAGAATATTGAATATTTTAAAATATTTTGAATATATTAAAATATTTTGGGGGAAAAGTTGATCTCCAGCCTCCCTTGTTTATGTTGGTGTTACCCAGATGCTCCCCCAAACCCGGACCCCATTGTGACCCCCCCCAAACTTTTATGTCCCACCCTTCAGGTGCCCCTGAACCCCCCAAGGTGCTCTATCCCCCCTCCAGGTGGGGCTGACTCACCCCCATCCCGGTGCTCCCCCAAATTCCCGGGGTGCCCCCTCCCACTCACCGTCTCCCAAGCTGGGGGGGGTCCCCACGGGCACGGGGGGGCACTGCCAGGCCAGGTTCAGGTTGCCCCCCCTGCAGTACCCCCCAACTCCTGCCCAGCACTGAGCTCCTGGGAAAAGGGGAATTAAAAAAATATATCAGAATTCGGGGGTGCCTCCCCAACAATAACAAACCTCCCCTCCAATAATAACCCCCCCCCCAAAATAAATCAAATTAATTATTAAATCAATTCCAACCTCAAAAAACTCAAGCAGGAAAATCCCCACCAGGCCCTCGAATTAAAGGGGGCTTGTTGGTCAGTTTTGGGGTGCCCACCTGGCAGTCCTGCAGGAGTGAATGTTTCAGGGGGTTTGGGGTCAGGTTTAGGGTCAGTTTTGGGGTTGCACCTGGCAGTCCCGCAGCAGCCAGATGTTTCAGAGGGTTTTAGGGTCAGTTTTGGGGTCACACCTGGCAGTCCCGCAGCATGCCCCGCCGCAGCCGGATGTTTTAGGGGGTTTGTGGGCAGTTTTAGGGACAATTTTAGGGTCAGGTTTGGGGTCACCCCTGACAGTCCCACAGCACTCCCCACAGCAGTGGATGTTTTAGGGGGTTTAGGGTCAGTTTTGGGGGCACACCTGGCAGTCCCGCAGCAGCCAGATGTTCCAGAGGGTTTTAGGGTCAGTTTTGGGGGCACACCTGGCAGTCCCGCAGCAGCCAGATGTTCCAGAGGGTTTTAGGGTCAGTTTTGGGGGCACACCTGGCAGTCCCGCAGCAGCCAGATGTTCCAGAGGGTTTTAGGGTCAGTTTTGGGGGCACACCTGGCAGTCCCGCAGCAGCCAGATGTTCCAGAGGGTTTTAGGGTCAGTTTTGGGGGCACACCTGGCAGTCCCGCAGCAGCCAGATGTTCCAGAGGGTTTTAGGGTCAGTTTTGGGGGCACACCTGGCAGTCCCGCAGCATGCCCCGCCGCAGCCGGCTGTTTTAGGGGGTTTGTGGGCAGTTTTAGGGACAATTTTAGGGTCAGGTTTGGGGTCACACCTGACAGTCCCACAGCACACCCCACAGCAGTGGATGTTTTAGGGGGTTTAGGGTCAGTTTTGGGGTGCCCACCTGGCAGTCCTGCAGCACGCCCCGCAGCAGCCGGATGTTTTAGGGGCTTTGTGGGCAGTTTTAGGGTCAGTTTTGGGGTGCCCACCTGGCAGTCCTGCAGCACGCCCCGCAGCAGCCGGATGTTTTAGGGGCTTTGTGGGCAGTTTTAGGGACAATTTTAGGGTCAGTTTTGGGGTGCCTACCTGGCAGTCCTGCAGCACACCCCACAACAGTGGATGTTTTAGGGGGTTTGGGGTGCCTACCTGGCAGTCCCACAGCAGCTGGATGTTTTAGGGGGTTTGTGGGCAGTTTTAGGGACAGTTTTAGGGTCAGTTTTGGGGTGCCCACCTGGGCAGTTTTGAGCAGCCGGATGTTTTAGGGGCTTTGTGGGCAGTTTTAGGGTCAGTTTTGGGGTGCCCACCTGGCAGTCCTGCAGCACGCCCCACAGCAGTGGATGTTTTAGGGGGTTTAGGGTCAGTTTTGGGGTTGCACCTGGCAGTCCCACAGCACACCCCACAGCAGTGGATGTTTTAGGGGGTTTAGGGTCAGTTTTGGGGTGCCCACCTGGCAATCCCACAGCATGCCCCACAGCAGCTGGATGTTTTAGGGGCTTTGTGGGCAGTTTTAGGGTCAGTTTTGGGGTGCCCACCTGGCAGTCCTGCAGCACGCCCCGCAGCAGCCGGATGTACTGTGCTGCTGCCCGCAGCGTGTCCGCCTTGCTGGGCCGGCGGTCCCGCGGCACCAGCGGCACCAGGGTCCGCAGCTGGGAGAAGCCACTGTTGAGGTTCCGGATCTGTGGGACACAGGGATCGAGGGGACCCCAAAAGGACCAGGTCAGAGACCCCAAAAGGGCTCCAAAGAGACCCCTGTTAGACACCCCAAAGGGACCCCCCATTAGAGACCCCAAAGTTCGACCAGGATCCCCCCAGGACCAAACTGTGATCTCTCAAGATTAAACTGGGACCACTCCCAGAATTCAACTGGGCTCAGCAGGATTAAACCAGACCTGCCCATAATCAAAATTGGGGTCTCTCCCCGAATTAAACCAACCCCTCGGGATTGAACTGCCCCCTGAGGATTAAAGTGGGTGCCTCACAGAATCAAACTGGGACCTCCAGGATTAAATTGGGACCTTTAAACTTGGATAAAACTGGAGAGTCATGTTTAGTCCTGGCTCACCAGGACTAAACATGACTCTCCCACAATTAAACTGAGACCTCAGAATTAAACTGACCCCAAGACTAAACCGACCCACACAGAATTAAACCAGGCCTTCCTAAAACTCAACTGGGCCCCCAGGATTGAATCCACCCCTCAAACGCGAAGTCCCCCGGCGGTGGCACTGCCGGTGTCGCCTGATTGTCCCCACGATGTGACCCAGCCCCGGGGTGTGCTCTGGGGGTTCAGCAGGTTCTGGGGTCGCTCACCCTCTCCCTCTCCTTGGCGTTGGCCGCCTGCCGCCGCTCCAGCACCTCGGCCGGGTCTCCGGTGGGCTCGTAGGCCCCGGCGGGGCTGCGCCGCAGGCGGGCGATGGTGGCCGGCTGGGGCAGGGGCCCGAAGCGCTGCCGCAGGAGCCCCTCCAGCACCTCGGGGGGCGGCGTGGGCTGCAGGACCCCCGGGGGCTCCGGGACCCCCAAGGGCTTT